GGGAGGCAGCGTAGGATGGTACATTGAATTCTAAGTTGGAGCGAGTTTGATGCCAGTGATAGTGAATGCTGGTGTTAAGCCAGAGTGCTAGGCGTGCTCTGGCTTGTGTGGGGCAGGATTTGCCCAGCAGCAGGGCAGAGAAGCCCTCGGTCTTGTTTCCTGTGACCCTGGCCTGGCCTGGATCTCAGCAGGCTGCTCTCGAACTGACTTTGGGAGTTTTATTTCAGATCGTTGGACTGTGGAGAAGAAACCTGATCATTCCTGGGGGTAGCCAGTCAGCCCAGACCTCTCCAGGCAGGTGGATAGATTGCCGTCCCCACAGGAACTCACTGTGGAGTGCAAAGGGAACTAGCAGCTGCTTAGAGGGGGTATTTCCCCCACGAGTTGGAGCCAGTGTTCCCAAATTGCCACCTCTTATGGCACAAAGCAGACCTGCTTTTGATGATAGACAGGAGCAGGCAATTAATATAGGGAGCAGATCTGTCCGTCTGAACAGAGCAGCTTTCGCTGTCCTACAGGGGTCTCTTTAGGGAAGTGCTAGCCCACAGAGTATTTTAAGTTATTTCTAAGTTACAGTGTAAATGTCGCTGTCCTTAACTGATGGCCACTGACTACCTACAGCACATTGGATCAACGCTAGCCAGCCTGAGCCCCTGTTCCATTCCCCAGAGGATCTATCGACAAGCCCAGAGCCTTCTCTGCAGCCTTCTGCCCTGGTCTGGCATTTCTGCCAAGAGCGGCATTGAATATAGCCGGACGATGTGACTGGATGGGAAGATGTACAAAAAGCGAAGGTGGGTACCTGGGGGAAAGCTCCCTTCTCTGCCCGAGGCCGGCAGCGACACAGCAGCGATGCCCCACGGCCGCTGTCTTGGGGCAGCTGAGAGCGTTCCCGAGCGAGGGCTGTAGGCTGCAGCTCTGCTGCTGGGCAAGCCGTCGCGCGTCTTGGGCCATCGTTGGGCTCCGGTCTCCAGCTAGTGGCCAAGCTCCTGTTGGTTCCATTTGAAGGGAATTTGAACTCTGACCTTGTTTACTCGAGCCCAGAGCCCGAGAGCAGATCGAGCCTGTCCCTGCTGTCTCTCTCCATTTCCCACCTCTGTCAGACCAGCTTGGGAGACCCAGAGTGACCGAGTCCTCGCTCTTTCCCCAGCTCAGTGTCCCAGTACAGTAACTCACAGCCCATTTGCTGCCAGTTGCCTTGCAGGTCTCTGACAAGGTCTTCAGGACAGTGGCTCCCCAGTGCACTTGGAGAGACCCATTAACACCTGGTTTCCCTAAGACAGCCGCCCTCTTTGTCTCCTCATAGGATTGTTCTTCCTTTCATCTCCTGAACCATCCGGCTCTGCACTGATTCCAGTGATGGTGGCCCTTGGTCAGTGACCCAGCCCCTGGACGGACTCCTCGTTCCACAGGTTGACCGAGTTTTGGCAGACTTCACACTTGACGGGCTGCAGCCCTGACTTACCCCCGTGGCCTGCAGCCTGCGAGCGCTGCCTGGGCGGGCCTGGCTGTCGTGCGAGGCGTATGGCTGTGCCGTAGCTGAGGGCCCTTTACGTCACCGGTCTGTGTGCATGTTGCACTGTCCCCACCACTTCCCTTGCCTCCGGTTTGCTCCTATTCCTATCCGTGATGTGGGGGGGGTTCAGTTGCTGCTTCCACACTGAAAGCAGTCTGAATGAGGTTAACGAATCTGCACTGACCAACCGTGTAATTGAGCCATAAGCGCCCTGGCAGGCCAGTGCTGGCAGAATACACACTCATGCCCTTGTCGCAGGGGAAGGGGGAGCGAGGATCCTGTCTGGGTGCTGCCAAGTCAGCTGCTGGTGCTTCCTGAGGGTAACTTCCAGGGACGGTAACTGCCTCGCATGAGAAACTACCCAGCCCCGCCAGCCCTCTGGAGTGACTTAAAAAGAAGCGTTTAATTCAGGATGAATCAAGTAGAAGGCAGGGAATGAAATTGCTATTTCATAGTGAAATATATATATTATACTGTATAGATCTTTCTGCCTGTGTCCAAGTGGGAACGTAGCTGGGGAGGGGAGCTGGGGGTGTAGAGCCACTGCTGCAGCCAGAGCCGTGCGGGGTCTGGTCCAGAGCCCTTCTCCCCCCAGCATCCACGCTCCTGTGGCACCGGGGCTGGACTCTTCCAGGATCTTTAGGGATGAGCTCTGTGCACCGATCACAGCAGCTTGTCTTTGCTGAAGAAAAGCTCCCCTGGCTGCTCGCTGGAGTGCTTCAGGCCGCAGCCTGGGCATCGCCAGGGGGTGGTGTGGGTGGATGGGCTCCCTGTGGCTGCCCAGGAGCCTCCTGGCCTGGCTGGGGGACCCCCTGTGGCTGTGCCAGATGGGGGCTGCATCTCACCTCCAGCCTGCGTGGAGGCCCCAGCGTGCCCGTGTGCCACAGCCAGGCCGGGCGCCCTTCCTGCGCCTCCGAGTGAGTTTGGGGGAGCACTTTGCTTTTATGGTGGGAGTCTCTGCAGCTCACCCAGGCCAGGCAGGTGTCAGAGGTGCAGGTATCCCTGCTCCCTGCTGGGGTCCCACTGTGCATTCCTGAGGCTCTTCCCCTGCTCAGTCATGGTCCTTGTTCCCCTCTCATTTTGAAACTGGGACTTGAGCAAAGGAGGGCTAAGCTGCAGCTGGTGCGGAGCCTGGATGTGTGGGCAGTGCCAGCTCTGGCAGGAGGTGTGGGGAGGGGGGGTGAGACACAACACTGGTCAGGCTTGGACGGGGAAGAGGAAGCCTGCACGTTGAGCTCTTGCAGCCCAGATGATTGTACAAAGCCCTCTCAGGGTCTGTAAGCCCCAGAGGTGGGAGTTAATTAATAAAAGGGTGCAGAGCTGCGCTTGCTGTGCATGGTACCATGCTGCTTCCTGAGAAGCAGGGGGGGGACTGGGACCAACTCCCTGCTCTGCCCACGGGTGCCCCAGGGCTGGCACTGTGGGCTGCTGCTCAGCTGGGTGGTGGCTGGGGCACAGAAAGCCCTGAGGGGGGGGCGCAGCTCCCCCAGTGGCCCAGGCCAGCCCTGCAGGAAGCAGCTTGGGCCAGCCGCTGGCAGGGGCAGGAGTGGCAGGGGGGGGGCGCCCCCCCCCCCCACC